AACAGAGTGTGGTGAGGATCTTCTGTTTTTTTTTGAGTATTGTTGGAGTATGCTTGGATTTTTGTTTTAATTTTTCTTCAAAATTCTGCCTGTAGGGGGACACGCTGCCCGCGGAGCGCCGCCAACAGAGAGGCGGCCCCCGGCGGCCCCTGGGACCGGTCCCGGGGCAGACTTCGGGTCGGGCGCCGCGCAAGGGGGGGGCGATAAGTGAGGCGCTCCAGGAACCCAGACCTCCTCGAGTGATGCAAAAAATCATGATGGGAGGTTCTTTTTGCCATTGTCGGCATCTGGGGGCCCTCGCCGGGCCTTGGGACCTTCAAAAAACGACTCAGGATGAGGCGGGGGTCAAGGCAAAGGGGGGCAGCCAGAGCGCCCGATCTTGCAGGATCCTGCAGGGCCAGGGTCGCATTGACCCGGGTGTGGGTGCAGGATCCTGCAGGATTTCTGCAGGATCCTTCGCGTTGACCCGGGTTTGGGCGCAGAATCTTGCATGATTCTGCAAGGGCTGACTGACCCGGGTCTGGAAATCCCCGATGGGTCGGGCGCCGCGCCCTGGGGGGGGGGGGGGGAACGATGAATGAGGCATTCCCAGACAATGCTCGCGTCGACAAAATAAAACAGGGCGGGGAAATTTTTGGCAGTGTTCGGCCCCTGGGAGCCCTCGCCGGGCCTCGGGACCGTCAAAGAACGAGTCAGGACGAAGAACCGGTCCCGGGGAAAATGGTCGGGAGGTTCCAGAGACCCCGTAGATGGAACAAATTCCAGGACGTCGCACGTCTGGGTTCCAGAAAGGGCCGTGCCCTCGAGGATGGAAAGAGTGGTCACCTCTTCCTCGGCCTCCGCCGGCGAAAGGGCGGGGGCAGGGCGGCGGAAGGCGGCGGAAGTAAAAGATGCGCCCCCGAGAGATGAGCAGGTTCTTGGGTTCAGGGGCAGCGAGGGCTGCAGAAAAGGGGCCCATTTGAAGGGCCCCCAGAGGGGCCCTTTGGGGCCCACGCAGGGGGGCCTGCAGGGTCCGGAAACTGCACCGATCTTCCCCCCCATCTTCTATCGCCCCCCACTTGAACGACGCCCAATGGGGGGGTCGACGTTGTGAAAATGGCACGACGTCGGGGGTCTTGGTCGGGGAAACGTAAGATTCGAGTAAGCCGGAGCTCGGGCTTGCCAAAGTTTTTCGACGAGCGCGTCCTGGATTTTGGCGGTCCAGTGCACGTGGGATGTCTGCAGCGGGAGCCCGCGTCAAATTTCAGATTGGGTCTCGTCTCATTAATGATGTCGGAAACTGGAACATATACATTACCAGTGGCGGGCTGTTTTTCAATCCCGGGACTTTCTGAGGGTCGGGGACGACACTGGGGTGGTGTGGTGCATACCTTTTTCCCCGATGTCCCGGGGAAACAACGAAACATGTATACACCAGGGTCCCGTATACACCAGGATCCGTTCTCCAGTGCAAATGTCAATGCAGGGCAGGAAAATGCGTCGGTGTATAGAGTTCGATTACCTATGATGGCCCCCGGTCAGGCCAGTCCCAGTCCCCCGTGCCCGAGTCTTCTGTCTCCCCGGCTTGGGTCCGCGCGGACGCTTCGGCGGTGCGTCGCCGATCGACGAGGCGAGGGGCCCTCGACAGCGAAGCCGCGCACTCCCGCAGCGGGGGGGGGGCGGGCTCTCGGGCCCCCTGGCGACGACGAGCGGGGCGATCGGGTGTTTGGACGCCCGACGTGGGTACGGAAAGAATGGGTCCAATGCCCAACAGCAGTTCTTGCGCATTTTGAACAGGACTCGCGGTCGGTGTCGCCGCGGCCTGTGTACATTCGAGACAGAGGGCCGCCTGCCCAACAGCGGCCGCTGTCGGTTTGGGACAGCATTTGTTGTTGGGCATTGTTCCCATTCTTTCCGTGCCCATTTCGGGCGTCCAAAGGGTGGGCTGATGCCTCCCCTCTGAGCCTGCCCCCAGGGTTAAGTCGGGCCTGTCCCTCTACAGGGGGGATTTTCGAAAGTAGTCCAACAATAATCTGGCGACGATGTTTTTTTGGGGGTATGTTGGAGCTTTCGTCCAAAATCCCCCTGTATGGGGGACAGGCCCGACCTAACCCTAGGGGAACAAGCAGCGACACAAACATAAAAACTCGGAGGTCCGCGCGCGCCGATTCCTCGGAGCGGCGCTGGACTTGAGTCGGGCCTGTTCCTCTACAGGGGGGATATTCGAAAATAATAGGACATAATCAGGGGAATATTTGTTCGTTTGACCATCAGGGGGTATTTTTTGATTATTACCTAACAGCGAAGACTGATAGGTTTCTAGTTGACTCAAAAGAGCTCACAGATCACTCCACAGGGGGGTCTGGGCGGGTGCCGGACAGGGTGCCGCAGAACTCATTTTAAGCCAACAGTCACACACTTCGTGCTCTTCGACTTCCCAGAACTCCATTCCCGGGCCACATTCTGAATGCCCGGAGCCAACTGTAGGCCACTTCGTGGTCTTCGAGTCCCAGAACTCCATTCCCGGGCCACATTTTGAATGCCCGGAGCCAACTGTAGGCCACTTCGTGCTCTTCGAGTTCCCAGAACTCCATTCCCGGGCCACATTTTGGATGCCCGGAGCCAACTGTAGGCCACTTCGTGGTCTTCGAGTTCCCAGAACTCCATTCCCGGGCCAGATTTTGGATGCCCGTAGCCAACTGTAGGCAACTTCGTGCTCTTCGACTTCCCAGAACTCCCATTCCTGGACCACACTTTCAGCAGGGGCAAGAGCACGACGAGGAGGAGGACGAGCAAGACCAGGAGGACGAGGACGAGCAGGAGCAGGACGAGGAGCAGGAGGAGCAGGAGAAGAAGGACGAGCAGGAGGAGGAGGAGGACGAGCAGGAGGAGGAGGACGACCAGGAGGAGGAGGACGACCAGGAAGAGGAGGAGGAGGAGGAGGAGGAGGAGGGGAGGACTACCAGGAGGAGGAGGAGGAGGAGGAGGAGGAGGAGGAGGAGGAGGAGAGGAGGAGGAGGAGGGAGGAGGAGGACGAGGAGAGAGGAGGAGGGGGGGAGAGCACCAGGAGGAGGAGAACGAGGACCACCAGGAGGAGGAGGAGGAGGAGGAGGAGGAGGAGGAGGAGAGACACCAGGAGGAGGAGGACGAGCAAGACGAGGAGGACGAGAACGAGGGCGACCAGGAAGAGGAGGAGGAGGAGGAGGGGAGGGGGAGGACTACCAGGAGGAGGAGGAGGAGGAGGAGGAGGAGGAGGGAGAGGAGGACGAGAGGGGAGAGGAGGACGAGGAGGAGGAGGGGGGGGGAGAGCACCAGGAGGAGGAGAACGAGGACCACCAGGAGGAGGAGGAGGAGGAGGAGGAGGAGGAGGAGGAGGAGAGAGAGCACCAGGAGGAGGAGGACGAGCAAGACGAGGAGGACGAGAACGAGGACGAGCAGGAGGAAGAGGAGGAGGAGGAGGAGGAGGAGGAGCAGGAGAAAAATGAGGAGGAGGAGGAGGAGGAGGAGCAGGAGAAAGAGGACGAGCAGGAGGAGCACGAGGACGAGCAGGAGGAGGAGGAGGAGGACGAGCAGGAGGGGAGGGCGGCCGGCTGCCCCGGCCAGGAGGAGGACATGAGCGAGGAGGAGCACGAGGACGAGCAGGAGGAGGAGGAGGAGGAGGAGGACGAGCAGGAGGGGAGGGCGGCCGGCTGCCCCGGCCGGCTCCTACACATGGCTGTTAGGTTGTTTTGCCGGGATAATTTACCTAACAGCTTGTTCTGATAGGTTTCTAGTGGGTCAAAAGAGAGCAGCAGATGACTCCACAGGGGGGTCTGGGCGGGTGCCGGACAGGGTGCCGCAGAAGTCGTTTTAAGCCAACAGTCACACACTTCGTGCTCTTCGACCTCCCAGAACTCCATTCCAGGGCCACATTCTGAATGCCCGGAGCCAACTGTAGGCCACTTCGTGGTCTTCGACTTCCCAGAACTCCATTCCCGGGCCACATTTTGAATGCCCGGAGCCAACTGTAGGCCACTTCGTGGTCTTCGAGTTCCCAGAACTCCATTCCCGGGCCACATTTTGGATGCCCGGAGCCAACTGTAGGCCACTTCGTGGTCTTCGAGTTCCCAGAACTCCATTCCCGGGCCAGATTTTGGATGCCCGGAGCCAACTGTAGGCCACTTCGTGGTCTTCGAGTTCCCAGAACTCCATTCCTGGGCATGATTTTGAATGCCCGGAGCCAACTGTAGGCCACTTCGTGTTCTTCGAGTTCCCAGAACTCCATTCCCGGGCCACATTTTGAATGCTGAGGCAGGCTGATGGCTGATGCTGAGGCAGGCTGAGGCTGAGGCTGAGGCTGAGGCTGAGGCTGAGGCTGAGGCAGACTGAGGCTGAGGCTGAAGCAGGCTGAGGCTGAGGCTGAGGCAGGCTGAGGCTGAGGCTGAGGCAGGCTGAGGCTGAGGCAGGCTGAGGCTGAGGCTGAGGCTGAGGCTGAGGCTGTGTCTGTGACTGCCTGCCGTTGCCACTGCGACTGTCATCGCGAATGCGACTACGACTGCGAGAACAGCACAATTCTACAACTGGATTCTCATCTGAATCTTAAGGGGAATGCTTCCAGATATGCTCCTACACATCGCTGTTAGGTTGCTTTGCCGGGATAATTTTTATTTTCCGTCCAAAATCCGCCTGTAGGGGGACATTCCCGACTTCACGCTGGACCCCCCCCCCGGCGCGCTCCGCGCTCCCGGGCGGCGCCGGAGGCGCCGCCAGAGGACCCCAGCGCCGAGCGGAGGATTCCGCGCGGACCTCCGAGTTTTTATGTTTACAGTCTACCCGCATAGCAATGATGGACAACCTTCCCAAGGGTACCCTTTGCACCCTTGCCCCTTCGGCCCGTCCTCAGCGACTCTCGCCGACCAGCCGCGCTCGAAAAACGTTCACGTGGGCCTCCAAGGCCCTTTCATCCGTGCCGCGCATCCTTATGATGCGGGTTGACTCTACGTGCATCATGATTTGTGCCTCTACTGGCGTCGACCGGGGCCATGCCGGCGCTCTACTTCACGGTCGCCTCGGCGTCCAGCGACGCAGCCGGGAGCGCCGCCTTCGGTCCGCGCCTCGGGCTGCTGCCGGGCGCCCCGGGCTCAGACGGCGGCTGGACGTCGGCGCGCTGCTGCGCGTTCCCGCAGGAGCTATTGCTGCAGCTGGAGGGCAGCGCCGAGGTCTCGAGGAACCAAAATAATCTGGGCCTCCCAGCGGGGGTCGGAGTAGATGGGGTCGGAGGATCGCACCGCATTGCACATGTATCGCCGATGCACCGCCGATGCGGCTCGATGTGGAGCCCGATCTGCTTCACGTCGACGTTGTCGATGCATCGCCCACGTCGAGGATGCATCGCCGGTGCATCGCCGATGCATCATCGCCGATGCATCATCGCCGACGCATCGCCGATGCATCGCCGATGTATCGGCGATGCGGCGCGATCCCCCGACCCCATCTTCCGACTCTACCTAGGAGGTCTCTAAATAAGTAGTTCAAAGATGGGGTCCTGAGGGATGGGTTCCTAAGGATAGGAAGAGATCTCAGGGTAGACACACATTCTTTCAGGCACCGCGTCCTTAGGGCCCCATCCCTCAGGAAACTATGTTATGAATCAATGGCAAAAAACAAAGGCACATGAGCGACGCAGAAAAACGGGTTTCACTGCGCCGACATTCGCGAGTGAGCTGCCGGCGTAGGATGGCCCGTAAGCGCCCTCGTTCCCAGAGCCCGCGTGTTTCTTGTCGTCGCTCAAATGAACGTAAACATTCGAAGCTCCGCGCGGAGTGTTTGGAGCTCCACCTCGTGGACCTCTAGATCCAGACGTTCTCGCGCCGTCGAAGTTTCGCGACAGGAGGTTTTTGGTGGTGTTCAGCCTCCTGAGACCCTGGTCGGACCTCGTGACCGTCAAGAAACGACTTGACTCGGGATGGAAAACTGGCCCTGGGGAAAGGGTCAGGACTTGCGGGGACGGCGTGTGGAAAATGATCCTGGCGGACGGCCCAACCATATGCAATTGTGGGTGCCGCATTATGAAAATTTTGGTGGAGCCCCATATGGGGCAACGAAGCGTGCGAGGGGTGCGCCGAAATGGGCAGGGCCTCCATGAGAACCCTGCCACTGGGGCCTTCGGTGGAGCTCCCCATGGGGCCACGAAACGTTTGAGGGGTGTGCCGACCTGGGGTGGGAGCGCCCTGCAAACCCTGCCACTGGGGCCTTCGGTGGAGCTCCCTATGGGTTCACGAAGCGTGTGAGGGTTGTGCAGAAATGGGGCGGGGCTGCCATGCGAACCCTGACACTGGAGCCTTTTGCGGGGCTCCCTATGGGGCCACGAAATGTGAGGGTTTTACCGACATGGGGCAGGGCTGTCATGCGAACCCTCTCACTGGGGCCTTTGGTGGAGCTCCCTGTGGGGCCACCGAACGTGTGAGCGGTTTGCCGAAACGGGTCTGGGCCGCCATGCGAATTTTGCCACTGGGGCCTTCTGCAGGATTCCCTGCGGGGCCACGAGACGTGTGAGGGGTGTGCCGACAGTGGGCGGGGCCGCCATGCGAAACGTGCCACTAGGGCCTTCTGCAAGGCTCCCTATGTGGTCACGAGATGTGTGAGGGGTGGCGGGGTGCGCCGAAATGGGTCTGGGCCGCCATGCGAACCCTGCCGCTGGGGCCTTCTGCAGGGCTCCCTGCGGGGCCACGAGACGTGTGAGTGCCGAAATGGGGTGAGGCCGCCATGCGAACCCTGCAACTGAGGCCTTTGGCGGAGCTCTATATGAGACCACAAGGCGTGTGAGGGGATTGTCGAAATGGGGCGCGGCCACCATGCGAGTTTTGCCACTTGGGCCTTCGTGGAGCTCCCCATGGGGCCACGAACCGTGTGAGCAGTGTGCCGAAGCTGATTGGCGGTAATGCTGCTGATGACGATGATGAGGATGGTGATGATGATGGTGATGATGATGTTGATGATGCTGATGATGATGATGCTGATTATGATGGTGATGGTGATGGTGATGATGCTGATGATGCTGATGCTGATGATGATGACGAATATGCTGATGGTGGTGGTGATTCTTGGTGGTGATGATGCTGATGCTGATGCTGATGCTGATGACGACGATGCTGATGATGCTGCTGCAAATGAGGATGGTCATGATGATGGTGATGATGTTGATGATGATGATGATGATTAGGAAGAGGAGGAGGAGGGGGGAGGAGGATGCTGCTGCTGCTGCTGCTGATGATGATGACGCTGCTGTTGCTGCTCATGATGATGATGAAGCAAGGAGGATGGGGAGGAGCTCGGAGGAGGAGGAGGAGAGGAGAGGAGAGGAACGCGGGGCACTGTTTCTTCCAAACGAAGACCCACAACCACAGGATGGCTGGGGCAAACAACACATCGCATGGCTGGGGAGGACGATGCAGCGGCACGTGACCGGAAACTCTCGTGGCTCCGCGCGGATCTGATCTGCGCTGGGCCCGCATCACTGGCGCGCGGAACGCGGCAGGGGCGGAGCTGGAGGCGCCGCCAGGGGGGGGTGGGGGGCAGCGCCAACCCGAACTTTCCAAGCGAGGGGTGGCCGAGGGTGGGCGGCCCAGGGCAGGGAGGCGTTTGTCCCCTCCGTTGTTTAATTCCTTTCAGCGCGACAGGGAGAGGGCCCAGCGTTGTGGACGACGGTCAAATTGAAACGAAGCACGTTGCCAAATAATGTCCAGATGTCTAAAACATGGTGTAAACATGGCTTAAGGATGTACCATAAAAGGTGTAGAACATGTTTCTACATGTTGAGCACATGTTTTCGTTGAGTGATCGGACTGCTAGGGTGTCCATTGGCATGGCATTCACAAGCCCAGCGCAGGTCAAGATATCCGCGCGGAGCTCCGAGCGTTCATGTTTCTGCCTTTGTTGCGTTCGCCCCCAGAAGTGCGATGTCCTGGTATTCCCACATGCGCCGTCCCTGGAAGTCCTGACCCTTTCCCCAGGGCTAGTTTTTCATCCCGAGTCGTTCCTTGACGGCTACGAGGCACGACGAGGGCACCAGGAGGTCGAGCGGTTCTGGCTCCCCCCTGGCGGCGCCATCGACGCCGCCCCTGGCACGCTTCGGCGCTGCTGCCGCTGCTTTGTCCAGAGGGGGGCCCAGCGCCGATCCGAGAAGTCCGCGCTGAGATGCGACAGTTTTCGTTTCTGCCGCTGCGTTGTGCAGAATGGGAGGAGGAGGAGGAGGAGAAGGAGGAGGAGGAGGAGGAGGAGGAGGAGGAGGTAGCAGAAATCTGCACGGAGATGCGACAGTTTTCGTTTCTGCCGTTGCTTTGTGCTGAAGGGAGCCTTAGCGCCGACCCGAGAAATCCGCGAGGCGCTCCGAAAGTGTACGTCTCCGCCGCTGCTTTGCTTTCCTCCTGGAGGTCCACGAGGTGGAGCTCTCGGCCCGCGCCGAGCTGGCGCCCTCGGCCGTGGACGTGGCATTTAGCCGCGACGCCGGCCTCTTCGGCGGCTTCGGCGCGGCGACCGGCCCGCCCGCACAATGGGCACGGAACACATGGGCACGATGCCCAGAAGCAAACAGTGTCCAAAACCGGCAGGCCTTGATATTCTGGCGGCACATATTTTTCACAACGAGCGTTTTCGCCTGAATTCGAGCCCCTGGACCCCATATGCATATATGATCAGCCAAGCGTGAATGCCTCCAGTCACTACGCCGCTGTCTGTGTTCCATAGCCTTTGGCTTCAGTTTTTCTGGGTGTATGCTCGACCCAGACCTCCAGGCCCTGTACGCTGCCGCGATAGCAGGGCTGCCGGGCTGGGCTGCCCTCGTCTGGCAGGCCGTGCGAGGGCCTGGACAGTCCGCCTCTTCTGAAGGCGGAGGAGGCTACCCTGGACACGAGGAGGAGTGTCCAGAGGTGATCTGCGAGTGCCCTGAGGTGGTCTGCCCGAGGCCCGAGTGCCCCGAGACCGACTGCCCGATCGTGGAGTGTCCGTCGGTCCCCGACTTCAGGGAAGTGTACCCCTTGCTGGAGGAGGGCATCTTCGCCGTCCTCTTCCTGCCGCTGCTGGTTGCCACAGCCGCGGGAGTGCTGCTCGGGTGCTGGTGTGCCAAGAGGACGCGGAGCCAGAGAGGTGCGAACGGTCAGCACGTCAGCCCGTCCGCGTCGGACGAGAAGCGGCGGCAGCTCGCCGCTGAGCAGGTGGCGGCCGTGCGCGCCCGTCGAGAGTCTGGGCGCCACACACAGCAGTGAGTATGGCAGCCAGGGGAGACTATATCCTCATCAAGTACAACGGGGTAGACGAGGACTTGTATCACGAGACTTTGATCACGGGGGTCAGCTCAGAGGATCCCACTGAGGTTACCCTGTACACCGCCGATCAGGATCACTATCAGTTCAACATAGCGCCTGGGGATGATGTAGAGGCGGTGTACTGGATCGGGCTGCCAGGAGGTCGCCCCGCTCACGTGCCAGAGAATCAGATCTATCGGTTCCGCCACAACGTGCCGCCCAATGAGCGCCAGAGGCTCTTCGCGGAGGCGCAGGGCATGCTGGGAGCAGCGCCGGCGCCTCCACCCGCCCCTCTGGCGGCCCCGATGCGGAATGTGCAGAGGCAGGGTCTAGGCCGTCCCGCCGGGGCGGCCGCCAGACGCGCCGAGCCCGGCCGCGTGTGGGTCTTCGCTGAGGACCATGGCCGCCACCAGAAGGGCGACAGCGTGGAGGAGCTCCCCGCGGGGTCAGTGGTGCTGGGAGAGAGGGCGGTCGTCCCCATGGCGGACGGCAGCACGGCGCTCTTGCAGATGATCCCCCAGGACGGCATTGATGAGTTCAAGATGGACGATCTCAGGGTGATGCCCGTGAAGTTCGACGGCATGGGGCGGCGCAGGAGGCTCTTCCAGGATGGCGTCGCCAGCTTCGTGCCCGACGAGCCCGAAGGGGGCTTGGGGCTTGAGGGCCCTGGCACAGTGTCCTGGAGATGCCAGACCTATGTCGAGAGGTCCCAGACGCCGGTGTCTCAGCATGCGTCGTGGAGGGCGACATCTGGCGTCTCGAGCGGGGACCGTAGCGTCTTCGAGCATGAGGTGCTCTCCGAGGTGCTCGAGAGCATGGTGTGCACGGACCAGCTGCACGCCCCCGCGCTGCGCAGGCTGGAGCTCGTCTGCAGGAGGCTCCAGCTGATCGAGAGCGCCCACTCCCTGAACCCGTCGGCTCCCGACTACTCGGCCGCCGACCAGCACATGGGATGGGGCCGCCGCCGTCAGGGCATGATGGTGGCCCCGCTGCTCCAGCAGCACGTGGCGACGGCCCTCCGCGACGAGCACCAGGTGGCCAAGGAGCAGAGGAAGGCTCGGGAGGAGCGTCGCCTGGGCCGCCAGAACAACAAGAACCACAAGGACAAGGCCCCAGAGGGCCAGGGGTGATGCGGCCCCCTCCGAGGGGCGACGGACCTAGCCCCTCGGCAGTGACACATCCAGGAGGTCCACAACTTTTTGATAGAGCTCGGCCACGGGATCTATTTCCGCTCCCTCATGTTGTTGAGCAGTCGGCTACTGAGGGGCATCCCTCACGCTCGGTGCGAAGACGCCTGGCGAGGAGGAGGTTTTTGGACAGGGCTACCAACTCTGTCATCAGTTCCTTGAATGAGATGCAGGGCTGCGCCGGGGTGCACGACGGAACCCCCGCGATGGGCCAGATGCTGTCATTGCAGCACCACGGTTCGTCCCTATCGGCGGGATCAGGTTTCTCTTCCAGATCCCGGGAGGCCCTCGGCGGATTTGCTGTCTACCCTCCCGGAGCCTGACCAGGATTTGCTGAAGTCATGGGATACTCATATGCTTGCTGACCCTGCTGATGTGGGGTTCTATCGAGAGTCGGGACATCAGTTTAGGTTGTACTTCGACGAGATTTTTAAAGCGCAGCGAGGTGTCTACGTTGAGTTTTTGAGAGACCTTAGCGACGCCAAGATGATTGGTTGGACAGAGAAGCCTCTGAGCCTGGTGACCCCTTTCTTCGTAGTAAAGAAGCACGACAGGTTACGACTCATCATGGATTGCAGAAGCACGAACCTCCTCTTCCGAGCACCCCCTGCCCCTGAGATGGGCACGGCTGCAGCTTGGGGCAACCTGGAGCGTCCCGAGGCTCGTCCTGGAGCCGAGGCCGGCGGAGCTGACGCCAGCGGAAGTGGCGGAAGCAAACTCTGGGTCGCCCAGGCGGACGTGAAGGATTGTTTCCACTGTGTTCGCAATCTTCCAGAGCTGTGCCCGTACTTCTGCATGCCGCCGATCACGGAGGGAGAGAGAGCCGACGCTGGTATTGGTGGCCCAAGTGGCCTTGGGGATCTGGCACGTGAGGTTTCGGTTTACCCAATGCTGCTGACTCTTCCAATGGGGTTCTCCTGGGCCTTCTATTTCGTCCAGCGCCTCGTGGAACACCAGTGCAGAGTTTCCTTGGCTGGGGCTGGCTTGGCTTTCAAGTTCCTGAGGGACCAGGCCCCTGCTCCGGATCTTGGGACCCAGTTGGCCGTTCTACCCTACTGCGACAACATCAATGTCGCGGGCATCAGGAGGGAGGAGGTGAAGGAGGCTAAGGATGTGATCGTTCGGAGGCTTCGATTCGTGCAGTTCACTGTCCATGAGGAGACCGAGCCCGAGACCCTGTCGTACTCGCTGGGTCGCGTTATCGATGGGGAGTCCTGGGTGGTTCGTAATCGGTCTGAACGAGGGGAGCGTCTTCGCAAGGTCTGTGAAGGCTCTTGAGGGGGGTCAACCAGTGACGGGTAGGCAGATGAAGCAGTACCTTGGCCACGTGGTCGATTTCTTTCTGATTAGACGGGAGGTCCTCTCGGTGCTCAGAGCTTGCTACGATTTTGCGCAGGCGGCAGAGAAGAAGCCCCAGAGTTTATGGCCTTCTGCACGGCGCGAAGTTCGCTGGATACGTTCTCTCACTTTCATTGGCCTCGCTCGGCTGGACAGGCCCTGGCACGATACAGTTGTGTCGACTGATGCGTGCGAGTCTGGTGCAGGGATTGCTGCGCGCCGAGCAGACCCCTCAGAGGTGGCATCCATAGGCCGAGTCCGCGAGAGATGGAGATATCGCTCTCGTCATCCCCTTCACTGTCGTCCTCGTCTGCATGCCCTGGGTGGGGACCCTCTTCAAGACGTGGATACGGTCCTGCCAGTAACCCGACAGGCCCTTGGGGAGGCTCCTGAGGACCTGGAGGTCAACCCGGGGTTCGACGAGATCCCAGAGGCCTTCATGGACCCCGACAAGTGGCACGAGGTGTTTGCTATGCGTTTCAGGAAGGAGGAGGCTATACCTATTCTGGAAGGTCGGGCGTCTCTGTTGGGGATACAGCATTATATGAGGTCGTCTCGGTCTTTTGGAAAGCGTCTTCTACTCGTGGGGGACCAGCTGGGGAACACTCTTGCTATTGGGCGTTCTCGGGCATCATCGTACGACCTGCTCATCATCATCAGGCGTATTGCTACCTATATGTTGGCTACTGGCTCGAGTCTATCTGCACGGTGGACCCCCTCTGAGCTCAATGAGGTTGCCGACCGATCCTCCAGACGATGGGAGAGCGACGTCAGGGCTCCGAAGGGCCGCAGCGGCTCGGGCGCCCACCCGCCGCGCCAAGTGCAAGAAGACGGCTCTGGCGCGTCACGGGGAGGGCGTGACCTCACGACTCCAGCGGCACCACCGGGGTTCCACCCCAGCGAGGCCTGTGGGCTCGACGCCGCTGCGCCTCCAGCGCCAAGGAGCTGTGGAGCGCATCTCGGGTCCCTCGAGAGAGAGCCGTCGGGAGAAGCGCCAGAGCATCTTCGGGGCCTTCGAGCGTCTTGCCCTGTCGGGCCAGCATTCCATTCTCGAACGTCACTCGATTACGGCACCCACGGAGGGCCTGTACACAGCCTGGTGGGAGGAGCTCCAGGATTTTGTGGCTATGAACGGCTACACCTTGGACAGCGTGAGGAATGCCGACATTGCGCTGGTGGACTTCGCGGACTACTTGTTTCTCGAGGGGTTCGAGCGGCCCGACCTCATGAAGATGTACGCCGCGGCCGCCTGGCACCTGGCCGGCCTGTCCCCCATCGGGAAGCTGCGTTTCCCGCGGTTCTCCCGCGCAGCCCGGGGGCTGGGCCTGCTGGCGCCAGCGCAGACCGTGCCGCCCGTCCCTTTCGAGGTGGTGTGCTGGATCGCCTGGCACATATACCTCCGCCTCCAGGACTGGACCATCCCACTCTGCCTGCTGACCATGTTCGTCTGCTACTTCAGGCCCGTGGACGTCCACGGCCTGAGGGGGGAGGACCTGGTGCCGCCGGGAGGTTCGAGCAGTCACTGGGTGCTCAACGTGCACCCTGCCCGCCGCGGAGAGACGTCAAAGGTGGGGGTGTCCGACGAGGCGCTGCTCCTCGACTCTCCTTACCTCCCAGGTCTGGGTCCCGCGCTGCATCGGCGACGTCGCGGCCAACGGCTGGCCAAGCTGTTCGAGGTCAGCGAGAGGGAGCTCAGCATGCAGTGGGGCCGCTCGCAAGAGCAGCTCGGGCTGCTCCCATCCCAGCGGCATCGCCTGTACCAGATCCGCCACGCGGGGCCGTCCCACGACATCCTCATGGGGGTCCGCACGCTCCTCGACGTCAAGCGCCGGGGGAGGTGGAGCTCGGACGCGACCGTCAAGCGGTACGAGGCGGCGGGGGTGGTGCAGCAGGAGTGGGCCAAGCTGTCGACGGCACAACAGGCCGCCGCGTCTCGCGCGGCGGAGTGGATGCAGTCTCAGGTGGGTATGTTCTCCGACCCCAGCCCGGGCGGGCGCGGCGCTGGAGGACACCGTGGCTCCTCCAGGAGCTGTACTGCGGCACGCACGGGATCCTCGACAGCGCGGGCCGCCAGGGCATCGGCGGCGTCGGCTGGGACACGGAGATCAGTTCAAAGGCCGACCTCTCGAGTGCGGCCGTCATCAGGAGCATCGCCCGCGACTTCAAGGCGGGCGAGAACCGTTTCGGGCTGAGTGGGGCGTTCGCAGCTCTCTGGGTTGGTATCGTTTGCTCGACCTGGACTCGTATTCGCGACCGCCCTCCTCTTCCCAGATTGCGTGATGATGACAAGTTCTTGTTGGGGTATCCACAGTATGAGCGTGATTGTGACAGAGAGGCTGTGCAGCTGGGAAATCTCATGGTAGAGTTATTGGTGAAGCTACTTTTGGAACTGTTACCTAAGAGAGTCGTCGTGGTCATAGAGAACCCACTGACATCCAGGCTCTGGCTTCATCCTGGTATCCTTCATTTGAGAGCTGAGTTTTCTGACCACCAAGACGTGTTGCTGGATCAGTGTGCCTACGGCACTCCTTGGAAAAAAGCCCACGAGGCTGCTGGTATGGCACTGCCCTGCGATGAAGGCGCTGGGCAAACGTTGTACAGGCACCAGAGGTGTTTGCGCCTTTTCTCAGCAGCCTCATGCGACTCTGACCGGCAAGGTTCACGGAGTTTGGCGTACCAAGCAGACCCAGCAGTATCCGCAACGTTTTTGTGCAGTTTTTTCGCGGTGCTTGGCTCAGCATCTCAGACACAGTCCGCCTTTTGCGTCCCCCACCCACCCACCCCTGTTCTCCGTGCCCTGCCAGAACACTACATGATAGCGGATTCGGGGGACATTGATTATTGAATAATCTTTCTCTGCGCGCTGATTTGATTGTTGAAGTGCTGCCGGCATTGTTCTCGGCCAGCTGCGAGCCTCGCCCAACCGACAGCTGCCAATAGACAATGTTTCTAACTTCTGGCGGAGACACGAAACAGGCATGATCAGCCAAGCGTGAATGCCTCCAGTCACTACGCCGCTGTCTGTGTTCCATAGCCTTTGGCTTCAGTTTTTCTGGGCCCACCGTCCACCCCAACGCCTCCTGGGAGACATTGATTATTGAATAATCTTTCTCTGCGCGCTGATTTGATTGTTGAAGTGCTGCCGGCATTGTTCTCGGCCAGCTGCGAGCCTCGCCCAACCGACAGCTGCCAATAGACAATGTTTCTAACTTCTGGCGGAGACACGAAACAGGCATATATATACACATACATAGATACATATATACATATATTCACATATACATATACATATACAAATACAGATACATCTACATCTACATCTACATATACATATACATATACATATGCATTTACAAGTACGTACACATATGCGTTTTACATCATTATAAGTATAGATCCAGCTCGAAGAATGACGCAGGGATCCGGCTGTGATAGTCGCGATGTAATATTTTCTAGACGTCGGATCTCGGGGGCGGCTGCTGTGGGACAGGCGAAACAGGACAACGCCCGAGCGGCTGGAGCCACAGCCATCTCCCCCCTGACCCGCGCCCCGAACAAGCGGCACGTGGCACCCCGCAGTGTTGCGGAGTGATGGGGGCGGGCGC